CAGTTTTGAGAACAGTGGCTTTATAATATAGCTGATAGCTGCTATTGTGATCGCTACATCTTTGTTCTTCGTTTTCAACATTGCTGCACCTATTCAGTGTATATTTGTGTTGCATCTGAATTTTTGGAGAGTTTGTTTTATGTTTCTGAAATACGCCTATCGGGACCTCCATTGAATCTATAGTTTGCGAGCGAGTAGTATGGACATTGGAATGATCAGGACTGTGCGAATATAGGAGCTCGCACTACTCATGGAGCAGCGAGGTCAGTGCCTGGGTCTCTTTTGTTGACAGCCCCTCGTTTTTTGACTGCAGCAGTTCTAATCTCTCAGCTCCTGAGAGAGCTGGGGGTTGCAAGGGGGAGTCGCCAGCAGGCAGACGACGGGCCCTGGTGGGCGGAAGCCGGTCCCACCCCGACTTCCAGAGCAGCAGGCAGGGCCAGGCCACCCTGGGGGTGATGTGGGGAAACGCACGCAGTCACTGGATGGAGGGCGCCCACCTCTAAGCTGCCGTGTCTCCGCCTGTCACGGGAGGACACACCTCCGTCTCTGAGGTGGACTTGCTCGGCTCATCCCAGGCCAGGGGCTCAGGTCAGTGCCCGGAACACTCGCCTCCATCCCAGGCCACAGGCACCATGAGGGCCCCAGTGAGCAAAGGGCACAGGCTCGGAGGAGGGGGCTGGCCAGGGAGCCGAACTGCTGTCCACGGAGGGCCCAGCCCCGTTCCCGCAGCCCCGGAGCTGGCAGAGGCCGAGTGCTGGGAGCATGACTTGGCAAGGCGTCTGGCAGAGGCTGGACAGACAGACATCCCTTGAGGGGGGTTGTGGCCACAGGCAGGGGATGGAAAGCAGTGCTGCCCAGCCAGCCACCTGGCGGGCCACTCGGGCAGACGGCAGGCAGCCAGCCCAGGCCCAGCTGGCCCCCTAATGAGCCCCACACAATTTTCACCCCATATTTTTCCAATAAAAAAAGCAGTTAGATGCAAACCACGGAGTGGTGGGCGGGCCATCTGGAGGAGGTGGGAGGACCATGGCGGCGAGAGGGCTGGGGTGGGGGTGGGAGGTCTGCAGCACTGACTGGACAGAGAGGTCGAGGGCGGGGCCTGTGCATCAGGAGGGCGGCGGGGAGAGGTTTTCTGTCTTGTCTGCAGGCCAGCCTCCAGGCTGCTGCTGGCTGAGAGGGAACCTCAGACCCTGGCAGGTTTGGGACGAGCGAACTGGCCGGAAGCACGGAGCCCAGGCCTCCCTGTGGCCCATCCAGAGAGGCCTTGGGGGGCTGCCTGCCTGGCCTGCTGTCCCCGTGCCCAGCACCTGCTGAGTCTGTGCACAGACCCAGGGCACAGAGCAGCTCCCCGCTCTCCTGCCCACCCAACCCGCACATTCAGCTGCCCCTTCTCCTGGCCTGTCCCCCCAGCGGCCCTCTGTGCGTCAGGGACCGTGACAAGCCAGCCTGTCCCAACTCTGTGGGCAGGAGTCCCAAGGCCCAGCAAGGGTCGGGGAGGTGCCTGTGGATGCCAAGCAGCTGCTTGAGGCCAGGCACTGCTGCAGCTGATGCTGGTCTCCCTCCTGCGCCCTCGCAGTCACGTACCGGAAATGCCTGGAGGCACTTGCCTTCCTGCCTGCACCAGCCCCCCCAACCCCCAGGTCCGTGAACGGCCTCACCTGGCCGGTGCCAGAGAAAGGAAGTTGGGGTGCCCAGGGGGCAGAGGCCCTTCTCTCTGCTTGGGGTGGGGATCCTCACGGGTCAGCCTGGCTGCAGTGGGGAGAGCAGGAGGGGTGGCCACTTGTTCCGAGGTCCCAGGCGAGTGTCCCCCGGGCCTGCTGGATGGGCCTGGAGAGGGTGACTCGCTGCCAGAGACTGAGCCGGGGCAGGAGGGCGGGAACTCGGGTCTCTTGCCACCCAGCTGCTCACCACCCCCAACTCTGGGACCATCAGTGTGTCCATGGAGGATGCTGAGGGGCTGGACCATGGGCCACACGGTGCACGGTGCCCCTGCAGCCAGGAGGGCCGAGCCCTGAGGACACCTGGCGAGGCCGTGCGGCAGGGACCTCCCGAGGTGGTGGCGCCGGACGCACTTGGAACAAGACCTGAACTTCATGCTGTGATTTATGCCACGTGGCCCTTCTGGGCTCACCCTCTGCTCCAGCCCCCGGACGCTTGCACCCTCGTCCCTGCCTCGCCGTGCAGAGGTGCCAGCCCTCACGATCGACGGAGCGGGAAAACGGCGCAAATGACACGGCTGGTGCCACAGCTGCCTCCTTGGACCCAGACGAGACTGAGGGTGGGAGCCACACGCCACGGACGGCCACAGGGACAGACAGCTATTGTCACTGTCGAGTTTGGTTTCTGTTACAGCAGCAGCAGCTCCTGACTGAGGGGCTGTGTGCAGGGTGGCTGGCCCCTGCTCCCTGACGCCCGGAGGGAGGGCTGGGAGGCAGAGCTGCTGTGAAGGACGTGTCCTGGCTAGACCCCCGGGGTGCAGGGAAAAGTTCGCCAAGACCAGCACTGACGGGGCCAGGCAGGCGGAGCTTGTGGGCAGCAACAGTAGTGCTGGCCGACGGGCCGTGGACGGAGCAGCCAGCAGCCTCAGGAACCCTCCCTCTGCCCCTCAGAGCTGCCCTTGGCTTCAGAGAGCATTTCCAAAGAGTGGTTCCCAATTAAAGGAGGCGCTAAAGGTGATGTGCCAGCTCAGCCCTCTCCCCAGGTGCCCAACCGGACTCATTACAGACGGGTGACAGGCAGCTCCTCGGGAAGACACGTCCCAGCACCCAGGCGCTGTGGGCATGGGACCCACAGGCGTCCCGCAGGCCCCAGGGTGGCGGTGGGGAGGGTCCTGGGCCCCAGTACACGCTGGCCACCTCTGCCATCTGCCCCGCGGGCCAGACCACAATGACGACCCCTCCTAGGGCTTTGGGGCCAGCCCCCCTTGGAGGCCCGTCCTGGGCATCTCAGATCTCACGTGTCCACACTGCTCCTCCGTCCCCTCCCAGGCCTTGGGACAAAACGCTTGCTCTCAGCTGCCCCCCCCCCCCCATGGCTGTCACCTGGGCCCCGGCGTCCTCCGCAGGCCTGTCCAGCCCTCTCCACACCTGCATGGGCTTGTCCACTGAGCACCAGGAGGACCGCCTGCCCGCCGCCTGCCCACAGCTGGGATAGCGCCTGCCCGACGTGGCCAGGACGCGGAGCCGAGAGCCACATACCAGGCCTCCCAACGGAACTCACTCCGTTTCACAGAAACCTGACCAAACACCAGGCAGTGCTCAGCGGGCCCTCCAGGCCGCCTCCCGTCCCCAGGGCCTGCGTGCCCAGCCACCCGGGAGGGCCCCCCACAGGCACGAGGGGTCCCAGCCTGCCTGCCTCACCACCTGCGACTCCTCAGTGGGACATTCGCTTGTTCGCCGGCCCAGGTCCCAGCTGTGTGACCAGGTGCCCCTGACCCCACAGGAGCCCCAGCACCTTCCTGCCAGGTCTCCAGGGCCACCTGTGGGTCGAGTCAGCTGGGGGGTCCGTAGGGCTTACCTTGTCGTCCCCGTCACTCTCGCTGTCACACTGTGGGGAGAGGGAGGGGAGTTAGTGCCATGAGCCCCACAGGTGGCCAGGCAAGTTCACGGGAGGCCACAAGGCTCACACCAGAGAGAGGGCGGGTGGGAGGGACGGAGGAGGCTCTGCAGACCCACCCCCGCGACTCCTCAGGCCTGGGGGGGGTCCTAGGCCAGTGGGACCAGGAACCCAGGCTGCAGAGGCCCCTCCTCACCCCAGGCCCAGCGGGGCCCAGCCTTGGGCAGCTGAGCTCTATGAAGGAGGCAAGGAGGGCGAGCGGTGGGGGGGGAGACCCCTGGGGAAGATGAGGGGTCAGGACAGGCCTGGCCAGAGGCGCCGCCAGCAGGGAGGGGCCGGGGTGCCCACCTGCTTGCCCTGAGGCTGTGCCGAGCAGAAACGGCCCCACATTATTAGCAGCAGGTGAGGAAAGACCGTGATCAACAAACCAACCTGTTTCTCGTCAGTCAGCAGAGCTTTAAAGAGAAAGACTGTTCTAGAAGCCACAGCAATTCCCCCAAAAGGACATAAAGAAGGAAAGCTCTTCCCAGAGGGGCCGAGTGGAAAGGCCAGTCTCATCCTGGGTCTGGGCTCCGCCCGGTGCCAGCCCAGGCCTGTGTGGTGGCAGGAGGGGGCAGGAGACAGGGCCCCTGGCGTCCCGCTGGCGGGGGGACCACCGCGGACTCACTGGCTTACAATGGGGGACTGAGGCAGCTGCCGGGCACCGCACAGCGACTCCTGCGTGGTGGCTGGGAGGGGACTGAGGCCCAGGTGTCGCCTCAAGGGCCCGGCCCCTTGGAGCAGGAAGTCGAGGCTGCGCCCAATTAGTCATGCAGAACCCAGGAGGGTCCGCGAGCCCTGGCTCACTCGGCCAATTCACTTTCTGTGGGTGTTTCGGCTTCAAAGCAAACAGAGCACTGATCACCCCGTGAGCGAGCAATGAGGTGACTGCCGCCGAGGGCCCAGCACAGGCACCTCCGCCCGCGAAACCCGCAGCGGAAACCCACGCACGTGACCTGTCACAGGTGGGCCAGCGAGGACGAGGGCTGCCTCGGCCTGACCAGGGGCTTCCCCTAACGGCCCGACCCCTCAGCCCTTGGCCCTCAGTCCCTGGGGCGGGGGAGGGGGGGTGTGCCCGCCAGCCCATGAGCACGTCCACTGCCAATGGGCACCCTTCCCGCCGTCCCCCGAGCCCTGGTCCGTGCCCCACGTCACTCCCAAGGCAAACCTGACGTCTCTGTGTCTCCACAGGCCCCGGGGCCCCACTGTGATTGTGACACAACACACATGCACACAGACACGTGCACTCAGCCATACGCGTGTGATGGGAGGGTCCGCCTGGGCCGTGTGCCGCTCCTCTGGCTCTGGCTCCTCCATGCACTCTGCTCTGACCCCTCTAACCTCTCCTGTCCCCGGGGCCTCCCTCCGCAGCTGCCAGGAGATGTCTGGGTTCTCCTCAGCCTCTGGCCTGTGGCCTGAGCAGCACTGGCTGCCGCGAGGAGTCGACAAGTGTGTGGGGACGGCCAACAGCCGCCACCCCAGGGCCTCGTGGGGGGGCCTCCTATGCTCAGGGGCCAGGCCTCCCTCCCCTCGTTCGCGGCTCCCCACTGCCCGCGGGGCCGGGAGAGTCAATGGGCCTGTGTCACAGGATGAATAAAACATGGCCCAGCCCTGCGCCCGCGGCTGACCTGTGGCGGAGTCGACTGTATTAATACGTTCGCGTGTTGTCAGACTCGCAGCGCTAACTGCCTATGAATTATTTATCGACACGAAAGTCTTAACCAGAGCAGTGCTGGCATTAATCCCCCCCGGAGCCCGGCGGCCTGGCCTGTCCGTGTAATTGAATCTCAGCTCCCAGGGCCCGGCCCGCCCCTCCCGCCGTGGCTCCTGGTGCAGGTGCTGGGCCTCGAGGGCCCCATGGCTTGTCCAGAGCTTCCAGGTCTTGCTCCAGGGCCCGGCCACGGCTCAGGCACAAGGGGCAGCACGGTGGGTCCGAAGCTGGTGGGGCCACATGCAGTGGGATGCCCACGCGGGCACCCTCCCACCCAGGGCCTTGGTGTAGGAGAATCGCCCCGAGCTGAACCCAGGAAACAGCCAGATGCAGGACACACAGCCACGCGTGGGCGGACCTCGATGTGTCCGGGAACCTCTGGGCTGGAGGAAGGGCCGTGCCAGGCTGGGGGGGGCGGGGTGTGTGTGTGTCTCGGTGGCTTCTCCCGCAGCCCCCACAAAGCGATGGAGCTCAAATCCACGGCCCACCCACCGCCTGACCCCACACCGCCCAGTGGGAGCGGGGGCGGCACACCTGGGCCTCCGTTAGGACCCGGCCCCCGCAGCACAGGCAGGCAGACCGTGATACACAAACAAACCAGGCGGTGGGGCTTTACAGACGGTTGCAATGCCAACCCAATCTGGTCCTCCTGTGTGGAATACCAGGTGCCTGGGGTGGGGTGGGGGGGGGACCTCCAACGGGGCTCTCCCCAAAGGCAGGAGGACCAGGTGCCTGATGGGGGGCGGGGCCATGCTGCCTCTGGCCTCCACAGCTCTAGATCTCCATTTCTGTTTCATAGGGAAGCCCCAGGCCCCTGTGTCTGCGGAGACAGAGCACGTGTTTCGGTTGCAAGCAACCGAATTAGGAGAGTTACTCTCTAACTAGTACGCGGCTGACAAGCATCTGACGGCCGTGCGGGGCTGCGAGCGTCTGGGACAGAAGCTGCTGAGGAGGCGCAGTAGCTGGGGATTTGCTGGGGAAAATCTGGGCAAATGAAGCCCCTTTGAGTGTCTTCTGTGAGCCAGGTCAGAGGGCAAATGCCAGTGTCGCCTAGAGCGGACGCTGCTGGGAAGGGAGGACAACCACACACACAGGTGACACGGGGCACACGCCTGCAGAACGAGTCACTCGCACAGGTGCATCCACACCACCCAGACACTCACATGCAGGTACACACGTGAGGCACACACCCACTCACACATGCATGCGCATCTGCTACACCCAGACACACGTGCAGATGAACACGCATGCAGGGCACAGAACACACAGACGGCCCAGAGACAAATAGAACTTCTAGGTGCAGGCAAACATGGCCCCATCAGGGCCACATGAAGATGTGCATGTGATAGACACGTCAACATGCAAGCACACGACACACCAGCCACATGCACACACAACAGAGGGGCCCAGCCTGCTGCTGGGCGTGCTGGCCCCGCCCCCTCCTAATCACCACCCCGGCTCTCCCCAGCTGGCAGCATCACACAGGTCACCGACGCCTCCGCCCGGGTCTGCCTGCCGGTGCTGCTGGGGCCGGGCCCTGGCACAGCTCCCAGTTGACTGCAGTGTGGGAAGCCCAGGCGCTAGTGGTGACCGGTGACCGTGAGGACTGACAGGCACCAGGCTGCAGAGGAGGGCGGGTCCTTCCCTGGAACACCGCTGGGCGGGGAGGGCGGCTGGGCTAATGGGTCAGTCACACCCTACAAAAAGCCGCCCTGCAGCTCTGAACTTGGTAAACCAGGGCCGGCCAGGCGGCCACCAGCCACACCTGGCACCTGGCTTTCGCGGCGCTCTGGGCCTGCTGATACTTCAGGGAAAAGGAATAACGTCCTGGGGGGCAGTCTGTTCCCCAAGGATGGGGGTGGGGGCAGGAAGGGGAGCCCTGCACAGCCAGCCTGCCCAGGCCAAGCGAGGTACTGGGGGGGCAGGGGGAGTCACTGGGGAACGGCTGCTCCATGCCCAGGACCCCCAAGTCCAAGTGCCACCCGACAGGACCCTCTCCCTCGGAACCTCCACCCCCTCAGCCCATCTCCAGCCCCGTGCACACCCCCTTCGGGCCAGCTCTGCCAACAAGACCACCCTGGGGTCCGCCCCGGGCAGGGTTCCAATGGGGGCTCCGGAGGGGACAGGACATGCAGGGAGAGAGGGAGAGGGACAGAGGGTGGGGGGGGGGGGGACTTACGGAATAGCCTCTGCCCGAGAAGGCCTGCGCTGAGCTCTGCGGAAGGAAGAGAACATCCGTAACCAGAGTAACCAGGCTCACAGCCCCACCGCCACCCGCCCTCTGAGGCCCACCCCGGGGCCCCGTCTGAACGGTCAGGGCACCCCTGTCCTTGGGCATAGATGCCGTGACCCTGAGACAGGCCCAGAGACCACGCCCTGGGCCCTGGCGGGAACCAGGGGTTGGGGGTCAGGACCGAGGACACAGCTGAGCCTCACAGAGCCAGGACCCCATTCAGACCTTGGCCTAGAGACCCGGATATGGCCCAGCCATCACCCCCACACACACAAGCCCCACGTCCCTCAACTCTGAGCCAAGTGTCGGCCCCCAGAGGGCCTGCGTTCCACACGTGCTCTGTCCTCACCTGGGTCGGTCCTCATGGGGCCAACCCTCCCAGGGGGGACGCCCCTCTGTGCCTGCCAGCCTGCCCCGTGCCACCCCCAACCTCCCAGAGACTGGGAGGGGAGGCGCGGGAAGGCTTTCGGGAGGAGCTGGACGGGGACCTCCGGCCCCGGAGACAGGATGAGCTGAGGCCGTGGGAGGAAGTGGTTCGGAGGTGGGTCTCACCCCTGCCTCACAGGGAGGCCCCCAGGGCTGGCCCCCAAGGCACAGGTGGCGGGATGGGGCTGGGGGACCCGCAGACCAGGGCCTAGAGCACACTGGGCACTGAGCTTGCTCCCGTCTGCACAGGGACCCGTCCCGCCTGGGCTGCAGCTGTGGGACGCCCCCTCCGCAGGCAGACCCCTGCCAGGTCCTCACTCGGCTCCTGGGTCCCCGCTGGGCAGAGTTCGCCCTGGCAGCCTCCAGCCTGGAGGCCCTGCTGACAGACGAACGGACGGACAGGGTGGCTGGGCTGCGGCCGCCCTACCTTGCGCCCAGAGTCCGCTTCCTGCTTCCAGGCCGACACTCAGAGATGGAACTGGGCGGCCCCTTTCCCATCTTGTGGGGAAGTCCAAGCGGGCAATCAGCCTCCCGCAGCCTCGCCCTCACCGCTCCCCAGGCCTCCATTTAAATGACAATGAGGACAACGCACTCCTCCAGCCTCCAGGCCGGCCACGCCTGCAGCTGGGGGTCCAGCCTGGGCCTCCTCTAGGGCCTCCCAGGGTCCCCTCCCCCAGGAACCCCTCCCCTATCCCTAGCCTTCCTCCAAGCTCTGGGCCTGTGGGAGGAAGTGGTCAGGGCCACCTGGTCTGGTCTCCCCATCGCTGGCCAAATCCCGGGTCAGCCCCTCACGGGGTCCCAGGCCCCTCCCACCTCCAGGGCCCTGAGCTCAGGGACCTCCTGCCAGGACAGCGAAGGCGTCCCCAGACTCAGGCCACCTCAGCATCAGGCTGAGGCCAGCGGCCACCCCTGCCCACCACCCCAAGTCCGAGCCATTTCGCTCCCAGAGCCCCTGCCTCCAGTCCAGTCCTGCCACCGGAGTGTCCAGCCTGTGCCTGCCCGCTGGACAGCGGGCCCCCACCTGAACCCCACCCCGCCACACAGCCTCCACCGGCTCCCGCCAGCCTCGGTCCTCATCTAACTCCCTCCCGGCGGAGCCCTGGTAAGTGCGAAGCTGTTTACTGAGCGGCTGGCGGGTCTGCGGAAGGAAGGCTGCCCCGGACTCCCTGGGCCTGGGTACTCACGTCACTGAGCTGGTCCCGGGAGGCGCTGAGCCGGGAGCTGGTGGCTTCGCGGAAGCCCTCGTCCTCGCTGTGGCGGTCGCCCCCTCTGGACAGGACAGCCTTCACCTGGGGACAGAGAGAGGGCTCAGCAAGCGCCTGAGCCTCTGCACCGCCTGCTGTGGGGAGGGGAGCCAGCCAGGGTCAGGCCCCAGCTCCACCCGAGGGGGCAGCCCCACACTGGGGATCAAGCCTGCAACCCCAGACCTCCTGGTTCATAGGTTGATGCTCAATCCCTGAGCCACGCTGGCTGGGCTCGCACTTTTCTTTTTACTTGAAAATAACTCTAACCTCACAAAGCTGTGGGGACACGACCCACATCCCAGCCCGACCCTGACCCTGACCCTCCCACACCCAGGAAGCCACATGGCCTTGCGTCCAGCTCCGTGTCCTGGTCCCATCGCCTCCCGCCCTCCCTTCTGTCCCTTAGCTTCGTCTGCTTCCACGGTGATGTCGGGGCACCGCGGAGGCAAACCGCCCTCGGCGCGTCTGCGTCTGACCGAGGCCGTGGCTCTCAGCCAGCACACCGCCCAGCACTCAGGGAGGCGACCCCGGTCCAGGTGCTGCCCAGGTCCCACAGGCCGGCACAGAGGGTGGCACGCCGGGGACAGCAGGGACCACAGAGGAACCCCAGAGTCCGTCGCCAGCCCCCAGCTACCTCCCGCGTGAGGAGGGGCTGGGGCAGGAACCACTCACACTCATAGGAGCCCAGCGCCCGGCTCACTAGTCCTGCAGGAGGAGCAGCATGACCCCATCCTGCGGTGACAACACCGAGGGCAGGGGGCTGCGTCGCCCAAGGCCACACCGCCAGCCCGTGGCACGGAGGGGAACCTTCCGGAAGGACCTACCAGCCCATCTGGCAACTGTCTTTTTTTTTTTTTTAAATATATATTTTATTGATTTTCTACAGAGACGAAGGGAGAGGAATAGAGAGTTAGAAACATCAGTGAGAGAGAAACATTGATCAGCTGCCTCCCGCACACCCCCCACTGGGGATGTGCCCGAAACCAAGGTACATGCCCTCGACCGGAATCGAACCCGGGACCCTTCAGTCCGCAGGCTGACGCTCTATCCACTGAGCCAAACCGATCAGGGCTGGCAACTGTCTTATGATGAGAAAACCCCAAACACGGCAGACAAGCCGACACGGCAAACGGATGTGGGGAGGAGCCCGGAAGGGCCAACACGCGACGCATCCAGAACGCTCCCACGGCCGTCTCCGTTCCCCAGCGAGGCTCGAGGCTCGGGATCCAGGGCTGGTGGGGGTGCAGATGAGAAATGGGGCAGTCAGCACCCAGGGCAGGGAGGGCCTGGAGGTGTGCGGAGGGTACGGGAGCTGAACCACAAGTGAGTCAGCCCCAGGAAGGCAGAGGAGGGCGGGGGAGGGGGTCAGGCCACCGAGGACCTCGTGGGGTGGGGGTAGGACTCGGGGCTTGACCCTGACTGAGGGTGGAGGGAACCTCCCAGAACCAATGGGCTCCTCAGAGGAGCCTCAGGGGGGAGAGGGAGGCTGCTGTGCCGGGAGCAGGGCTCTAACTGCCGAAGGGCCGGAACCTCAGAGCCGGAACCTCAGAGCGGCCTGTAAGCGGGGCCTTGAGACCCTCCAGGGCCCAGACGGGATGTCTCGGGCTCCCACCCAGCTCTGGCAGACTTCCTGCCAGCTGCCTTGGGTGAGGGCAGGGTTGGATGTGGCGCTATCTCCCTTACAACGGCCTGGCCTGGCTTTGGTGACCTTCGGGGTGCCTCTGGGTTAGGGTTAGGGTAGCCTCTGTCCAGGGAGGAGGCCGGCCGGTCGGCGTCTGGCCCAGCAGCTGCTCCTCACACACTGCGTGACTGGAACAGAGGCCCTGCAGCCGGGCACTCTGGTGCTCAGGACCCGGAAGGAAAAACCCCGTGGCGAGGGCGGCCCTCTGGTGTTGATCAAATGAAGGGCAGGGCTTGTGGGAGTGATTGCATTCACCTGAAGCCGGGACACACGAAGGCACCCCCGTGCTCACAAGACAAGCTCCTCCTGGGGTTCCCTCAGCCTGGAGGGTGTTTCAGGGGGACCCATGCTCGTGCCTGCCCCCTGGGAACCCCAAGGGTCTCCTTAGTGGGCCCCTGCACAGTCAACTCCATCTCAGCATGGCCATCCCGGGTCCTACACGGACACCCCCTTCCACCTGACAACCGCAGCCACAGCAGCCCGGGCACTGCACCTGCAGACGGGGAGGTGGAGGCAGGGCCTGTGCCAGGCATGGAGCGGACACCCAGGCTCCATCCAATGCATCCCTGGCGCAGCAGGGGCCTCCCCCAGACCTCCAAGACCCCCCTCAAAGACTCATCCATCCTCACTTCCTGCTCAAGGTGGACCCCACCCCCACCCCTGACCTTGGAGCCAGCTCATCGGTGGGAGCCCAAGCCTCCACCCCCACCCCCCCAGCTGTGTCCTGTGGCCAGCGAGGTGGCTCAGAAATTCATTTACCTTCCAGCGCCTCCTAGTGGCCACTCCACAGGAGAGCCCGCTTCCGGACTGCTGTCCCCAGGCAACACCAGCAGGGCCCCCAGGACAGGTGCTGCAGCCCCCCCTGCGGCAGGTGGGCCTCCCCAGGTGGCACCCCCCAGGGTCCCAGCGCTGTGAACCCAGAGCAGCTGTGGGGTCACGGGTTTGTAAGCCCCTCTGGGGTCCAATAGAACCCCAGCACCTTTCTCAGCCTGCGATCACACAGGGCCGCCCACCCTAGGCTCACAGCGGGGTGGCCCAGATGGGAAGTGGGGCAGCCCCGGCCCTGGCTGGGGGTCTCCATGGCCCTGCCCCACACCCTACAAATTGGCCGACACTCCCAGGGGCTGCAAGGTCCACGCTCGTCCTGGCCCCCCTTGGGATGCGCCCCAGCACCAGGTATGCGGACCGGGCAGAGGCACTCACACGGCCCACAGGTCCCAGGGCTCAGGGCAGGGCACACGCCTGAGTCCCGGTCCAGTGCAGGGGCTGAGGGAGAGGCCAGCAGAGCCGGTCCCGAGCGCACCACACATTCCCTCCCGCTGCTCATTGGGTGTAAGGAGCACAATCAGGCAGGACACTCCTGTTAAGTCACAAACGCTGACGCTGCTGTAAGAATGGCACGGCACTTTTTATTGTCTTCAATCAGAAAAATAAACCCTGCGTCTCTGGGAGGCCCTGAGTGAGGACTAGGGGACCCCACACCCGGCTGGTCAGGCCCCCCCAGGCAGGGTCCTGGTGAGCAAGTGGGGAGGGGGAGGCCTGGAGACCGGGACCCCGAGGATGGGTCAGCATGGACATGCCTGTCACGGCAGGCGACAGGGGCATGAGGCTGAGCGGGAGCCTGGCCAGGGCACCCCAGGGGGCAATGCTACTCCCCGGACGGACAGCTGCAGCCCCTCTCAGGGCCTCTGCTGTCCAGGGAGTCCCAGCACTGGAGTGGCCTGCCCTGGGCCAGGGACAGCGGAGGCAGAGCTCTGTAGTGTGGGGTCTGCCCAGCAGGGGGCGTCCGGGGCAGCAACTGGAAGGCTGCAGAGGGCATTGAGGGCACTGAGGACCCAGGGCCCTGGAGACTCTTGGTGCGGAGCTGGGGTGGGGGCTGACCCACTTCAGTGACTGGACTGGGTGTGACTGGCGGCAGGCAGTCCCGGGGGACCTTCCTTGCCACCAGCAGCTTCTACTCGACCACAGACGGCCCTGAGCACTCTTGCGCCTCCACAGTCACAGGACCTGGAGGTGGAGGCAAGGCTGGCGGGACAAGGCTGCACCCACATTCTGCGGGGAGGGGGGGCACGAGGAATGCACACTGACCAGAGGGGAGGGGCCCTGGGGGTGAGGCCAGCAGCTCGCTCACACACACACACACACACACACACTGGCACACCTGGAGGGCGTGCACAGACTCAATGTACAAGGACATGTGGCATCAGAGGCACAGAGAAACAGAGGGGCCCCCAGCAGTCCCTCCCAGGGGCGTGTGAATGTGTGAATCACACAGCACAGAGCGGGCACAGGGGGGTGGAACAGGCATGGGGGGGGGGGGTCGGCGGCGGGGGTGGAGACACGGGGGTCCTCTCTTCTCTTCCTGGCGAAGGTGGCCTTGGGCGGGTAGCAGGCCTTGGGCCGTGGTGGCCCTGCCTGGGGCTCTGCCTCTGCTGAGCCAAACACAGCACACGGCCCGGCCGCAGCACGGAGACCAGTCCAGCAACACAGCTCGGGCAGCAGAGGAGCCGGGCCCAGGAGCCACAGACGGTGGTCGGGAAACGGGCATCAGGCTCCTGGGCTCACATATGGGGCCTGGCGGGCTGAGCGGGTGGAGGATCGAGTCCGTCGTGACCGCAGGGGCCAGCAGGGACGGCCCAGGGCCAGGTCCAGCAGGGACCGCCGCCGAAGCTGCAGGGGCCCCAGGAGTGGCCGGCGGGGCGGGGGGGGCTCCCCCAGAAGCGAGGGGCGCTTGGGGATGGGGAGCAGCGGCCGGGGCTTGTAGGGTGGGCCCGGGCCCAGAAGCGACTGCGGGGGCTGGCAGGGCTGTTTGGAGCGCAGGAGGGGCCGCTTGCGTCGGCAGTTCTGCTCTGGGCCCAGGAGTGGCTGCTTCTGTTGGCTCGGCTGGCTGGGGCCCAGCAGTGAAGATTTGGGGGGCCCATGCTTCTCTGGGGCCTCAACTAATTGCTGGGGCTGACGGGGGTGACCGGGTTGACCCAGGAGGGACCTTCGGGACTGGCATGGGGTGAGCAGCGCCTCCCAGGGGCAGCAGCACTGGCCTGAGGGAGAGCAGCTGGACGGCGGCGGGGACGCAGCAGGAGGGGTGAC